AGCCGCTTTTAAAGGGCTTGCCGGCCAATCAGAAACAGCCACGGTGCACTGCTTGGGTGCTTGGGAGCGCCGGATTGGCTCCCAGGGCACCAGCAGCCTCCATCCCATTTACGAAACGGGCGGAAGCTCGTTAAAAGTATGGGGGTTGCCGGTTCGTTATTTTTAAACCCTTCCGGGTTTGAAAATGTGTTTTGTAATCGTTTCGTTATTGCTAAAAATAACGAATATTTAACGAATTACAAAATTAACGAACGAAAACGCCCAGGCCTATTGGTTTGGTTATTTGGGGTACTGATTAAAAAAATGGTTCAAAACTCATTTCAGATGTAGGGGGCGCTGGTGGTTTGATTCAAAAGTCAATTCCAATTTGTGAAAAATTCAAAACTTTTTGAAACTTCCGAGACTTCAGAATCCTTTCGTTAATGGTTTGAAAGTGTTATTTCCTGTTTCATTGGGTGGTCTTTATTTTGAAAGTAGTTGTTTTACTCCAGAAGCAAGGAAAAGCAAGCGGAGGAAATTCCTTCTTTCTCTGGTTTAAATCTGGCTTCTCTGGCTTGAGCCAAGGCCAGGGACCAAAAGCGGGTGAAAGCAAGCAGAGGAAATTCCTTCCTTCTCTGGTTTGAAACTGGCTTCTCTGGCTTTAAAACTGGCTTCTCCTGCTTGAGCCGAGACCAGGAAATTCCTTCCTTCTCTGGTTTAAAACTGGCTTCTCTGGCTTGATCCAAGACGAAATTATTACAAGCAACAAGTTATCTGAGAGACTCTATCTATGGCTAGCACATAGCAACAACAAACAGTAGCAACAGTAACCTATTCTGTACCAACTAAAACTTAATTGCATTGTTTACTACACTTAAGTACTAATATTTACATTATTTATTTATTTTATACAATAATACCCTATAAGCCTGAATAAACTTCTCTATGATCTAAGCATGAATAAACTAACTACCACTAGAATTATTCTGCTGCAAAAGTTAGTTTTTCTCCAGCCCTCCCTCAACATCCCCAGCACCAAAGCTGCTGAAACCTTTCCAGCAAGACATAGGACAAGAAGGGAGGTACTGTATAGATACACAAAAGACCTTTGTAAGAAGAAGTTTCTTTATCACATATTTTGTTAACTGAGCTGTGCCTGTATATGTGCAAGAAGTTAAGCCTCATTGAACAATAGATAAAACGTCTGAGTAATCACACATATTGATGGGGATTACCTCTAATTAAACATGCAATACAGTTCTCCACATTTTTCTTTCTCTTTCATTTGCTTTGTTGGAACTTGTTGGGAGATTATGATCCCCATCCTTGTCTCCTGCTCATTTATTTTACCCCCATGTATCTGTTTCAACTATAATAGGCTGACCATGTTTGACCTTTAACGAAAGCCTTATTAAATTGTGAGCTACAGCCTGGAATGAAGTTAGGACCTTCTTGACACAGGAGGCTTCTTGCAGAAATGGGGAGAATCATCTCAATTGCTTTTTGAAATCCATTTGTCATGTCATACTTGTGGCATTATCCTTTGTATGTTTACTTAGAAATAATATCTATAAAAATGAATGCATTTGCTCCAGCATAAATAAGGAAAGGATTTCAAGCTTAGGAAAGTATTTGCTATAGATGCTTTTCATCTGAGGAGTGGTTGATAGCTCATCCTGTTTGTGGGAAGAGCTGACCATGTTCAACCATAGTCTTGTTTCAGAAACCAAAGCTTGTGAAATCCTTCACTGTTTTGTGCACACAAATATGTGTATGTAGTTGGACTCAGCCTTCTATTCTTCCATAAATTTAACATAGTGATGGAGTCAGAATATATCCTTAAGTCTTATGAAAGTATTGGCCCTAAGTTTATGGGGGACCACTTAGGTCCCCCATAAACTTTGCTTGAACTTATTTATTTGTAAGGTAAAGGTAAAGCTTGTCCCCTGACATTAAGTCCAGTCATGTCTGACTCTGGTGCTCATCTCCATTTCTAAGCCAAAGAGCCGGAGTTGTCCATAGACACCTCCAAGGTCATGTGGCCAGCATGACTGCATGGAGCACTGTTACCTTCCCGCCGGAGCAGTACCTATTGATCTATTCACATCTGCATGTTTTCAAACAGCTAGGTTGAGAGAAACTAGGGCTGACAGTGGAAACTCACACCGCTCCCTGGAATCGAACCTGTGACCTTTCAGTCAACAAGCTCAGCAGCTCAGCACTTTAACCCACTGCACCACCGGGGGCTCCATATATTTATTTGTATAGTTAGAAAAGCAAGTTCAAAGTTTGCCTACATAGGCGTAGTATTATCTACTGTAAAGCAATGCATAGGGTAGATATTTCAGAGATTGTAAGTATTTAACTAGCTATATTTATTTGTATAGTTAGTTAATTACTTACAATCTCTGAAATACCTACCCTATGCATTGCTTTACAGTAGTAGATGTATGTAAACTTTGAACTTGCTTTTCTTGCTCCCCAAGAAAAAGCTGTTGATGTCACTCTACCATTCCCCTTCTGTTTTCATTAAATTGAACTTGGACAGGACTTGATTTTTCAAAGACAGAACTCTTGGAAACATAGAGTTGGAAGAGAACCCAAAGGATATCCAGCCCAAACCCATTCTGCCATGCATAAAAATATAACCAAAGCAACTCACAACAAATGACCACCCAGTCTCTGTTTAAAAACTTCCATAGAAGAAAACTCTAACACACTCCCAGGCAGTGTATTCCACTGTCAACGAGCTCTTACTATTGGGAAGTTTTTCCTAATGTTACAAATGTCTTTCTCCTTTATGTGAGTCACATAAAGTGTGGTGGAGGGGAAGTCTTGATACAATAGTATGACTGATTTGTTTTCAGATTCTTGGTGTTCAAACTCTGCTTTAAAGGTGTACATGCAGGTGTCTCCTAGAACAAGACCAGAGGTGAAAGAACTCTGTGGAAAGCAGCAACATTAAAGTCCTTGTTCTTCACATAGCTTATTGTCAGAATGTCAGCTTTGAACACCCTTTTGCTCTGGGCTTTTTTTTTTTGCAAGAAAGGCAGTTTCCTGTGATAATCCGCCAACAAGACTTTGGGCGTAAGGGTCCTCTGAGCTGGATTTCTGGGAAAGAATAAGCCCCGGAAAGAAACACGAAGCAGGAATGTGATGCTATCCAAAATTTCAGAAATAAAAAAACATGGTATGCATTGTCAAACAACATCAGAGTATGGTCAAGACAGCGAATACATTGGCAAGTTATTAGTGGAGAAAAACAGACAAGTTAGGAAAGGCTGCAGCAGTTTAGCTTTTGCCTGGGATTGACAGGTTTCTGCCCCTGCTCTCTCCATGCTGAGTCGAATGCAAAAAGCTTTTGAACTCAGTTTGCAGCAATTGAAATAAGCAGGGCCATAGCCAGAAAAAAAAATTGGGGGGTGGGGGGGACTTTTTTTTTTTGAACCATGAGAAGTAGTTCCATAACACAAAATAATGTAAATAGTACGGTTCATTCTATATTTTATATAGACTTAATTAAATCAATTTTCTATTTTATTTACAAAGTTTCAAGTCTTAACATAACTGAAAATTTATAGTTACAAAAGAATACCACAACGTCTGTTGGAAACACTTGAAAACTGTGTTGATACACTTTGACAGAAATTAGGTTCCATTGATAAACTTTGGTGGACACTCAAGAGTGTCAAGTCCAGTCAGTCTTTCTTGTCCCATTGTGCTTCTTAATGTATGTTTTCAAATGTTTAAGAGTTGAAAACAACCTATATATAGATGTAGCAATGGGAACCCTACTATATGGAAAAGAGGAGGAGGGAATAAGGAGGAAAAGCCCTAATTCCCCATTAGGTACCTGCCCCCTAATTCGTGCTGAAGCAAAGAGCACAATGGGGGGGGGGGCAGAGCAGCCTTAAATAGCCTGCAGCTCTACCCCTGATGACCACCCCCACCAAGTCTGGTCTCCTTCATGAGGGCCTTCAGATCCCCCCCCCCCCCCCCCCCCCCCCCGCAATGCCTTAGGTTTTGCCTGCCACTTATGGGTGGACCAACTTGGTTGCTTCCACTATACTGGCTCTTGCTGCAAGTAATGACCATGTCAAAATTTGCTTGAGATTGTGCTTGCAGTTCTGAAGATACTTTTTGCTTCTCATAGATTTAGCATGGGGATTTGGTTAACCAGTTAAAATTCATGAGTAAATCAAGGGTTTTTTTAACCTGAAAAATTTGGAGGGAGGGATTTGAACCCCTAACCCCCCCCCCCTTGTCTACAGCCCTGGAAATAAGTTGAGAACAAAGAGGAAAAATGTGTGTGTATGGGGGGGAGGGGGGCTGAATCATTTTAAAAGCAGCCAAAAAGTGGGATGGCAGAAGAGTAATCAGGGCTCTTACTACCAATTCAGCTCTTCAGCAAGATGGGAGGCCTTTCAAGGGGATGGGAGTAAATAAAAAAGTGGCTGCCTCACATTGCCTCATGGAGGGGAGACCCAGCTCTCAGTGTGAGCATCTCATACAGCTAAAGAAATTGAAAGTTAAGGCAAACTATACATTCTTTGAATCTGGGATTTGTTATTTCACAATCTCCAATTGATTCTCAGATCATGAGTGAATCCAGACTTCATCGCTTGCAATAAATCTCTGCAAGAAATAGGGTCTGATAATCTGCTCATCTTCATCCAGTATCTGCGGATTAAAGCTGTCCTAATTTTTTTTAATGATCATTCTTACTAGGGGTGCAACTACTCTGCAGAATTAATACCACTTTAACTGCCATGGATCAGTGCTATGAAACCACAGGACGTTTACAAGGTCTTTAGCCCTCTCTGCTCAAGAGTGCTGGTGCTTTACAAATCTACAACTCCCAGGATTCTATAGCATTGAGCCATGGCAGTTTAAATTGTATCCAACCATATTAATTAATTCTGCAGTGTAGGCACACACTTTGATACAAATATTTTAGAAATTTCCTAAGAGCACTAATTGAGCTCATTCTTCATCTTTTCTTTTTATTTCTTTTAATGCAGCTTCAACGTCACGACAAGGAGGCCGAGAATTCCCCAAGCAAATGGAGATCAGAGGATGAAATGGCTGCAGAAGCATCTATCCTCAAAAAGTATTTTCAGTGAAAAAGGTAACTGTCTTTTTCTATTCAGCAGGATGGGTGTAAATCTTGTATCCAAAAATTATTAATGAAGGACACATAAGCTAGAGAGGCTGCATGAGTTTGCTTTTTGAGCCTACTGAGAAGAGCAAGATTTCACCTTCTCCTTTCCCGCTGAATTAACCAAATCTATACTTACTTTTCACCAGTTGAAATAACTGGAGGAGAAAGGATGAAACTGGGAGGAAGAGAGAGAAACTCAGACATTTGAAAAGCACCTGAATAAATGGGATGGAAGAGGATTAATTGGGACTATACCTGCCAAATTGAGATGGTTCCTTTTCCCATGGAAAATGAAGAATACACTAATTCTAGCAGGCATCTCAAATGACAAATTTAAATCTTTATAATATTCTATGTGCTGAGTGTGATTTTAGATTTTATTGGTCCTTTGTGATGTTTAACCACTAAGACCCCATCAACACTGACCATTTAATGCAGTTCAAAGCTATCTTCAAACTGTGATAGTCAGAAAACCAATTCCCACAAAAACATGCATAAATAAGTTCTTAATATGCATCAGTGCTCTGTGGTTTGTATAGTCACCATCTGAGCCTCAAATTGGTTCCAGGATTTCCTATGTAATCATCTGCACAACAAACCCACTTTCTTCAATACCAGTTTGAAACTGCAGTAAATGATCGGTGTAGATAGGGTCTAACTTACATAGACTGCCAGACTCCCTGGACATTTATGGGTTCTCACCCTCAATCAATCAATCAAAAGCATAAAAAACAAAGAAAAGCAAGAGTTTACTGATAAGTCCCATTGATTTTTAGTATGCTTACAAAGAATAGGCAGAATTTAGTCCAACTAGTCATTGTGCAGTTCCCCAGATGTTGGTTAATTGTGATGCCTTGCAAGCAGAGCCCACAATGAGGAATGGCAGGTGCAAAATCCAACTATTTATGGAGTATTGTATGATTCCCACCTCTGTACAGTAAGGGTGAGGGGAAAATGTAGGGATGATGGAGGATAATTCAATAAGAGCTAGACCTTTTCCAATAATAGTGCCCCAGTTGTGGGTTATCACACTGGAGACCAACTTAACTTCATTCCAAGTGAACTTTATCCAGTGACAAAAACTATTGCCTTGATGGGTTTTGATGGAGTTTAATCTTGCTTCATTTGTATTTTGATTTTATTTTGTTGCTTTTTCTTAATTGTAAAATGTCTTGAGAGCCCCAGTATGCAGGAAAGTAATTTATAAATACTTTTAATAAACAAAGCAATAAATAAATATCTGCCCAGAAGGCCACAAAACGAGACACACATCCACCCCGCTGTTACATGACAGGAAAGACTTGTTTCCCCAAGTAAATGGAGCAGAGCTAGCAGTCCTTGCATCTTTTGTCAAGTATACAATTGCATATGTTCCATGCAATATTGGCTATTCATTTCTGGCTTCCCTTTTGTGCAATAATAGGGCAGGGGGGTGGTTTCTGTGCGTCTAAAAGTTGCAAATTTAGACAGCCACTTACCTGGATTGTATCGGAAAATGCTACCAGGACAGCTTATACATTGTTAAATGCACAATCTGCTTAATTAGAGTGAAGAACATTTTCATTCCCATTTAAGAGAAACCATCCTATATCAGTACAAGAATGGATGAATGAAAGCACTTGTTTTGTGGGCTAATCCACAGCTTAGTGATGTATATGCAGGAGACTAACATGAATGGGGCAGAATTAAGCAAGCCGACCCAATTCACATTTCCCAGCCTTGTATGCAGTTTGGAACATAGTTATCACTGACTGAAGGGTGCACATCTTTGCCTTTAGCAGTTCAGTTGGAAATAAATTCTCAGCTTAGAAATAAGACAAACAGGTATTATATATAATGATGTTTTAGTTTCATGTTTGTTCAAATATTTGCCTTTGAGCTATGGTGTATAATGAATAACAAAGATTAATGTTTAAACATCTAAATTTCATACAAAGATGCATATATTTGGTGAGCTGCATTAAAAAGCAGAGGGGAATGGTAAATGAAAAATAGAAACTTTCATGCATTTTAAACATACATTTATCTTCTTGGTAGTTGTGAAGTCTTGGCTCTGCCTTTTCCTCTCCTCTACTTCAGTTTCCCCTGTTTATAGGTTTCTCCAATAGTGTAGATACCCACCTTTGTATTAGTTTTTGTGTGGAGCATAACACCTCCCAGATGACAGCCTTAGTTGGTCTATTCCATTTGTCTGTATAGAGCTCTTTAGCTGGACTTCTCCCTTTTTCTACAGTCTAGAGTCTTGGGGTATTGTCTGGTAATCCTAGGCCTAGCAATCCAAAAACAGGCATTCTTAGCAACTGCATTCAGCAGTATTTTTATACCATCAGTCCAAAGGACAACAGAAGCTTATGACCAGCTTCTTCACAAAAAAGAAGATTGAGACAGTTTATAACCATCGCTTTGCACCAGAGGCAGAAGACTCCAGAGAGATGAGTGCAGTCAGCAAATGCTCCTTTTGTGATGTATTGTTGTAAGTTACCTTGTGATAGTCCCAGGTGGAGTTAATCCTTTATTTATCTTGTTTGCAGTAAACTCATTTTGATTATCTTTTCACCTTGCCTAAAGTGCCTCTGTCTGCTAAGGGTCATAATCTTAACAGAAGGTATACAGATTTTATTTATCGTGTCATCAGCAACCAGACATTTGTATTACATTTTTAACAAAAACAAACAAACAAACAGACAAAACACAGACTTTGCAAGCTTGGTAGTTGATAGTCCTTTGACCAGTATTGGGCCACTTGGAGTGCCTCTGGTGTTGCTGCAAGGAGGTCCTCCATTGTGCATGTAGCAGGGCTCAGGTTGCATTGCAGCAGGTGGTCAGTGGTTTGCTCTTCTCCACACTCGCATGTCGTGGATTCCACTTTGTAGCCCCATTTCTTAAGATTGGCTCTGCATCTCGTGGTACCAGAGTGCAGTCTGTTCAATGCTTTCAAAGTCGCCCAGTTTTCTGTGTGCCCAGGGGGGAGTCTCTCATTTGGTATCAGCCATTGATTGAGGTTCTGGGTTTGAGCCTGCCACTTTTGGACTCTCGCTTGCTGGGGTGCTCCAGCGAGTGTCTCTGTAGATCTTAGAAAACCATTTCTTGATTTAAGTCATTGATGTGCTGGCTGATACCCAAACAAGGGATGGGCTGGAAATGTCACTTCCTTGGTCCTTTCACTATTGGCTGCTACTTCCCGGCAGATGTCAGGTGATGCGATACTGGCTAGACAGTGTAATTTCTCCAGTGGTGTAGGGCGCAGACACTCCGTGATAATGCAGCATGTCTCATTAAGAGCCACATCCACTGTTTTAGCGTGGTGAGATGTGTTCCACACCGGGCATGCATACTCAGCAGAAAAGTAGCATCGCGCATGGGCAGATGTCTTCACTGTGTCTGGTTGTGATCCCCAGGTTGTGCCAGTCAGCTTTCGTATGATATTGTTTCTAGCACCCACTTTTTGCTTGATGTTCAGGCAGTGCTTCTTGTAGGTCAGAGCACGGTCCAGAGTGACTCCCAGGTATTTGGGTGGAATAGGCAGTAAGAGCACCTAGAGCTTTGGAGAGCTTCTGTTCAACCGTCTCGAAGCTCTCTGCTTGAGCAGTAATGCCATAATCATCAGCATAGATGAAGCTCTCTGTCCCTTCTGGCAGTGGCTGGTCATTTTTGTAGATGTTGAACATGGATGGGGCAAACACGCTTCCCTGAGGCAGGCCATTCTTCTGTTTCCGCCATCTGCTTCTCTGGCCCTGCAACTCAACAAAAAAGCTCCTGTTTTGTTGCAGGTTTCCTATGAGGCGGGTGAGACGGTAGTCCTTTGTGATAAATGAGAAGGCAGTGGTTTACGGTATCATAAGTCGCTGACAGATCTATGAAGACAGCTCCTGTGATCTGCTGCCTTTCAAAGCCATCTTCTATGTGCTGAGTCAGGTTCAGCACTTGCGATGTGCAGCTTTTGCCTTTCCTGAAGCCAGCTTGCTGTGGAATCAGACATGGGTCTATTTTTTTCATAATTCTATGCAAAATAAGTCTCTCCAGAACTTTGTAGAGGTGGCACAACAGGGAGATTGGTCTATAGTTTTTTGGATCATTACGGTCTTTGCCTGGCTTCAAGATGGCAATGACTTTTGCTTTCCTCCAGATTTTGAGGATCTGACAGGATGCCGTGCAGTTGTTCATCAGCTCCAGCAGCCAACGCCTTGCTTTTGGGCCAAAGTTCTTGATTTGTTTCATCCGTAGATCATCCAGACCAGCTGCTTTGCCATTTTTACATTTATTGAGAGCCATGTCCAATTCAGTAGATGTAAAGGGTTCATGGAGGTTTTTGTTCTCAATCTCTGATTGTCTGGCTATTGGTTTCTTTCCTACTTTGGTAGCAAGGTTGGGTTTCCCATTCTTTGAGAGTTGGTGTGCTATCTGATCTGCCTTTATGTTGGCATGGGTATTAGTTTGTGAGAGGTCATTGCTCAACCATCTTAGCAGCCTCCACGCCTTCTGGCTCTTCCTTCCTATGTCGACTTCTGTTATCAGCTTTATCCGCTGTTCTTTCTTGGCTTCAGAGATTGAGGACACAATGCTCTGCGCAACCTGAAGAGTTTGCTCACTAAATTGGTCTTCGTTGTGGAGCCTGTAGTAGTTTTCCAACAAGGCAGCTGTTTCAGGAGTAATGCCCTGAAGGTAGTGGGTTCTGCAGCCTCTCGGTATCGAGGCCCATGAGCAGGTTTTCACTATTTCAATAAAGTGCTGATATTTCTCAGGGATTGGCGCGGCTGATGTGATCATGTCATCTATCATGTCTGAGAATTTAGTCCAATCTGCCTTTTTGAAGTTGAATCTTTGTTTAAATCGAACTTCCTGGGGCCTTATAGTTGGAAACAGTTGGCATACTATTGTTCGGTGCTGTGTGTTTGGGATTGGTGGTCCCACTGATTTAGTACATTGCTGTACAATGCTGTCGCTCACAAATAAGAGGTCTTGGTTAT